CCTTTACGAGTGTCTAAATTGCCCCCAATTACAGTAGTCACTGTTGACAGTTGATTCCTGCAAGAAAATTAAACATGATTTTTGGAAATTTTGGACAACACGGTACACTGGTGCCTGCACTAAACCAGACTCGTTCGTACCCATTCATTTCTCTTACTGTTTAATGGGGTGGAATGTATCAAGGGGAGTCTGAACTGGCGGTCCCTTGATCCTTTGCGCGCCAGAATAWCGACTGGGTACGAGTCTGGCACTAAACCCTCCAATTCCAATGTTAGGCTTATTTTATTATTAGTTTTGTTTAATTGGAGGACTATATTTTTTTATCCATTGTTTTCTCAGACAACCATGACATTCCAATAATTATTCACAAAGTGCTTTTGTTGGCAAGTTTTATTTTTAAAACAAAGCAAAAAACCAAAGTAGATAATGAATAATATACASAAAATATTGTTCAAAAATGATTATATACAGGAAAACCACAAACCATACTAAATACATAGTACTTAGAGAAATGGTATTCCAACATAATTATTATACTTGCAGCCTGAAAATTCTAGTATAACATACTTGTTAAAGTGAAGTGCTGTCTTCTTTCTGTCTATTTGACCACGACACTTCAATAGTCAAAGTTTGTTTCAATGGGTTGAATGAGTTTACGCTATTCTAGCTACTAAATGTGCAATCAGTTAGTAAAATGTTGAAAACATGTATCAAATTGGAAGTATTATATCAAGACTGAAGTAAAAAATCCTGTGAAATAGATGTTAAACTAATACATAYATGTTATTTACTGGCTGGGAGATCCATATAGGAAAACACTGCCCAAGGTCTTGACAATACGGAACRAGYGCAGCGAGGTCTGTTCATAAAAGACCGAGGGCRCAGTTTTTCTATACGAACTGACCTATAGCCCGTAAWTAACATTTTTATTTTTTTAATTTGTATTTGATGCAGCTTTGCTCGCAGACTAGCTGCAGGATACCATCGGACTGGGCAGATTGTGAAAAACCGGACCACGCGCTAGCCAATTACAGCGCGCAAATGACTAAGAGACTGGACTGAAAAAAAATAAACCTTGGTATGCTCTAATTGCAATGTTTAGTACTTATCTGTATCATACCATAATATTCAAAGTTTTAAAAGGTTTAATCACCTCGCTCTACTATTAATTGTGATTTTCAACTGCCTTTTAAAGTAAAATGCATAAGTTGGTTCTCAAAGACTGCTAACACACTATTAGCCTTAGAATTTTTTCACAGTTAACAGAGAAAAAAACCTATTGTCTTTTCACAAATAAAGGAAGTTAACTAATGTGTTTCAGTAACTGGGTTTGCAAGACCAATGCGAGCATCAGAGATGCAAATGCAAAAACAAGAAATGGAACTTTTTTTAYCATTTTCTAGTAATTGCTATTGCAAACCAGGTTTTAGGATRTAAAATGACAAAATAATATACACCAAAATACAGTGATAAAATATTGAATTATTTACAGTGTAGCATGTACTACTAGTGTTTAGGTGGATTTCTAAGCCTCATTGTGTATGGAGGTTGTGCTTGTTGATTGTCTTGTTGATGTTGCTGCTGCTGCTGTTGCACTTGATGTTGTTGTTGTACTTGCTGTACAACTTGTGGTACYGAGGGTTGTCCTGCTCCTTGAGAAGTCACTGTYGTTATKGTYGGTGCTGTTCCTTGACTTGCTTGTGCTTGTGCTTGTGCTTGCTGTTGCTGCTGCAGTTTCTGCACCTGACCAGCAGTCATAACCTGCTTACGTGGCTGCACCAGCATTTGAACAGTAGATTGCAAACCTGGTGTTCCCTGCACAAGAGTAGTCTGGATACCTTGCTTTATTGACGACGTTGCTGCCTGCGACGTTGCTGTTGCTGCAATTCGTTGTGCAGCCTGAGAAACAGCAGCAGTRCCAGTGGTTTGCTGTGCTTGCAATTGTTTTTGATGCTTCTGCAATGCCAGTTGATGCTGGTGCTGTTTGAGCTTGACCAACTGCAATTGTTGCTGCTGCTTCTGAAACTGCTGAATTTGTTGTGGAGTAAGTTTCTGGAATTGCTTTTGCTTCAAGATATGCTGGATTTGTTGTTGKGTTAGTTGTGTTGGTTGTGTGGGTGTGCTTTGTTGTTGCTGCTGCTGTTGTTGTTGCTGTAGCAATGCAGCTTGTATCTGTTTCTGTTGTTGAGGTGTTACTTGAATAGTCTTCCCTGCAATGGTAGCTGTTGTTGTTGGTAGGCCTACAGTTGTCTTTGTAGACTGTCCCTGTTGCTGCTGTTGCTGAAGTTGTATTTTTCTTTGATTTTGAAGAATTTGGTATCTYTTGAGTTGCTGTTGTTCCTGTGGTGTGAGTTGTCTCTGGCGGCYGATCACAGCTAATTGCTGAGGTGTTAGTGCTTTAGCTGTCCCTTGGACCAGTTGTTGTTGAGTAATAGGAAGATTATGACCTGAAATACAATCAAGACAACATCAAGTAAATAATTTAGACAAATATACTTTATACTTCAATCAACCCATCTACCTCAAAACAGTGCCTTCTTCATCAATACAATTAAAAACAATGGAAAATAAGGCAAAAATGAATAAATAAATAAACAATATATAAACAAAAACAAATTGGAATCCTACCAAAGAGCTTAAAACTTCCAAAAAGACAACAGTCTGCCAAATTTWCAYTAARTAMTACTTACTTGCAGAGGCAACTGTCGTAGTTGTTGTCTGCCGTGCTGCCATCTGGACAAGATTAAAACATTTCATAACAATTATAGATGATTTTGTGAGATCCAATAATTTCAAAAGAATCCCAAACTTCATTTACCTGAGCAACTAAYGCTGCAGAAGATACTGAAGCAAGAGCAGTAGTAGCAGGTGTTTGTGTGACGGTGGCCCCTTGAACTCCAACAAGAGTGCCAGCTGCTCTACCAGCATTGACGACAGTGGGTGACATACTCTGAATAATAAACAAATGAATTTTCATTTATTTTTCATTTCTTTAATGGAATAAAGGATGAAAACAAAGCAAAATAAGAAAGAAAGAATTACAAAAACGAAAACCAAAGCAGTGAAAACATTGCAGAAAAAGTAATAAATGGAATTAAAAGTAAGAAAGAGTACAACTGTGTTAAGGATAGACTTGATATTTTTGATCCAAATGCTGAAAAGAAGGGATGAYGAGGGAATAAAATCAGAGGTTGAAAGGGAGGATCAACAGAAATGGCTTGACGGCAAGGATAAAGTGGAAATGGTAGGTAGTAGGATATACGGAAAGTGGATGGGAATATGAAAAGAGTGTTGGTGCACAAGAAGAGAAATAAAAGGGAAAAATAGGAGGAATGGCAGGAAGACATTCACAATATTCCATACACTGGTTCAGTGACCATGAACAAACCATTGGACCAAGGCGTCAAGATACTGTGAGCCTAAAAAAAAAGATCTGCTCTAGTGTACCTTGACACCTCGGTTCAGTGCTTTGTTTGTGGTCAATGAACCTGAGTATGGAAAGTCCTGAATAGATTTAACAAAAAAACAAAAAAACATAAGAAAGTTGTAAACAAATGTCTCACTCTTTGTGTTAGTGMTGTTTGTGCAAGAGATGTCACTTGGCTTTGCATTCTTTTATTGATGGTAGCAAAAGGTGAGCTTGTAGAACTAAGACTGTTGGTTGTCCCAGGAGCTGTGTTGATGATAATGCTCGTTGCATTAGGTGTTCCAGAATTACTTGCTAGCACACTACCTGTTATCAACACAAGTGGAATTATTGTTAGTATAAAACTAACATGGATGACACCATCTACTTAACTTAATTTATATTATAGAGCGGATTTCGTATGAGTGGGACACAGTTACCACACGGTTACCGCACAGTTACCGGAGCTGGCCTTCACAATTTTGGTGAACCAATGACGCACTAGAATTTGGTTACAGTACGATTACGGTTACAGTACAGTACCGTCCGTTTCCCACTCATACGAAATCCGCTCTAGCTACGTATCATGATAGTATGCACTCTCTGATTGGTCAAATGTTATAATTTCACTGGTAAAAACACACGGATGCTATAATATAAAAGCAATAAACAACATTATTTTCGTGTGTTCTTGGTGAAATAAACCACTTGGGATATTGAGAAAACACCCAAAAGGCTGAAAATCTCTCGCCTCCAGCTCGAGTTTTTCTACGCCTTTTTCGTGTTCTTCCAACATCCCGCATTGTTTATTTCACCTGGAACGCACGAAAATGTGTTGTTTATTGCTTAATTTAACTGTCTATCATCTTATATTATCAGGGTTCTCAATAGTAGCTAGTAGCTGGTAAAAGGTACTGGTTATCMCTTAGTTAATCAACAGTTACATGATGAAATTATTTGCAGGTTTCTTGTCAAGAGCCTTTGGCTACTTTTGCTGGACTTGCTGTCAACCTTTACTGAGAACCTCAAATTATCTTTAAAATAACCATCATGTTATTTAGCAGCAAGGTAGAAATCAGACTCATACACATATTTCTTTATCTCTTTCTTGATTCAATATTAGAGTCATCACAAATGCTTACTTTTTCCAGGAAGTCCAGTAGTAACAGTGGTCCCTTGGATGTTTGAAACAGTCTTTGGTGCAGCCTGCACAAGACATGGTAGCAAGTATTATTAATCATAACTACAGTAGCTTAGATTAGATTAAGTGGGAAAAYTCTTCTCATGTATGGCTTTCAGGTCATCAGACAAAGCAGCCTTTGACCACAATGCGTRGTCATCAGTATAAGCATGGATATGTTCATCATTAAGCCAATAATAATGTATTACTTTTTTTAAATTGGTGGTTCTTTAACCTAACATTTAGTTACACCAGCCATATCAAATGAACAACCACTCTGCACACATCTCAGTTTTTCAACCRCTGATATGAATATTTTCCTAATTTCTTTTTTAAGAAATACTTCTTCAAATGATCAAGCTTGAATATCGTACCTCTGTAGAGGAGGCAATCTGCGTGGTTGTTGTCAGTTTTTGTGCAGTCATAACTTGGTTTTGTGCAGGAACTTGACCAGTTTGTTGRACAAAGTTAGTCTTTTGTTGTTGAGACTGCTGCTGTTGCTGCTGACTCTGAGCCTGTCCTTGAGACTGTGCTGACGACTGCTGGGATCCCTGTGTGGCTTGTTGCTGTTGCTGTTGTTGCTGCTGCTGCTGCTGCTGCAACTTCAATAAAAGACAAAAATGAGCAAATATTTTGGAAATCAATACACGACTTTCAAAACGGCCGACACTAATTAGCATATTATTGTTAAATTAATAATGTTGACAAAAGAAAACACTCAGATAATAGATATCAAACTAGCTAAAGATAAGCTCTGAAAGTTTCAAAGACAAATTTTAAATCCTYTGGAAGTTATAAGGGTTGGAAGATGCACAAAAACACTAAAACGAGGCCACAGAAAAGAATTTCATACAAATCCTTGTATTTTCAATGATTCTTCCATAACCTCGTTCAGTATTCAGTCAATATCTTCAAAATTTTGCACAATTACTTATTCTGATAGTTCTTCAATATGACAGCGCTGAATGTTTCCTGAATATTGCTAATCATATAAAATYGATAGTAGGCACTTGTGAAAGTGGKCTATTATTYAATCCTTTCTTTGTGTAATCATCTACATTTCTTTTTTGGTTTTTCTCTTTCTAGATTTAGTTAAAATACATTGTCACATCATTTACTATAACCTATCATCTGATCCTTACCGCTGCAGCCTTTTCCCTGTTAATTCTTTCAGCTTTAATTGTTGCTAACTGAACTGGATTAGGTGTTTTATCTTCAGGGATTCCACTAAAAACAAACAAACAAAGTGCCCTGCCAGTAAGTTACATGTAAGTAACTGAAAACTTCTGTAGATTGTGTATTCTCCCTTCCAAAGACAAACTTTATTGATCTATTCCCAGATTAAAAACGTCAAAAAAGGTACAACTAAAATAATATATTTATCAGTCAACACCTTGTATATATTTAGGTGAACCTCTTGCTTACATTTTAATTTATAGCGTAGGCAACAAAGTTTTAATACAGCTTTAAAATGAATGACCAGCATCTCTTTAAAAACTAATTCTCATAAACTATAGTTACATAATATTAAAGAGCTCAAGTATCAATAACAAGCTTTATAAGTTCGGAACTTACTTTGCGATTTTTTAATTGAAACCTTACGACAATGAGCAGAATATTGTAAAAGATAGATGTAGAATTTTCACATACCTTGCCAATAACACTGAAGAGTGCTTGTGGTTCTTAGACTGTGAGTCTGTCAGCCTAAAATGCATTAAATTAATAACCTTTAATTGACAAGTAGAACAACAACAATCAAAGTGCATGAAGCTCTAAGAAAGAGGATAAGGGAGCTCAGTGCTTATCTACAGTTGGGTATTCAATCATATCATCTATTTTTCAGTAATAATTTGATTCCTAATGTAAATACCAGGCTTGATTATCAAATTCATTCATAATTCATAAGGTAAACGATAGAAAATCATTGCCGTGCCCCTATCTTTATATTGAGCAAGAGGACCCATATGGTTTTCAGGCCCATATGGGTTTCATGCTCATATTTTATGTATTGCATAATTCATCATTTAAAAATGGCAATAATATACACCGTATTTCAAAATGCCACCCTTTGTTCAATTAGCCCTTGTTTTCTCACTCTCATAAAATTATTCTTTTGTCTTTGAGCTTGAGTTACTTTAAAAGAAAAGAACAATTTCATGAAAACGAGACATCAAGGACTAGTTAGCCATTTTGGAATAAGGTGTATAAATACAATGAATGGAAACTCACATTTGTTTAACTGTAGGTTTCCTTTTGCTGGCTGTCTTCTTGACCAAGTCAAATAAGGACGAATGAAGCACTGTTGGCGATCTACCTGCATCCTGGGATAGCAGTTGGTATGTTCTGAAGGTTCTCCCACTCTTGTTCTGGTAAAAACAATAACAGTTAATAATAATTATTGTAAAACTCATGAATAATTAATAAGGAAAACACAATAGAAATCACAACCGTGAAGAGTGTTGTAATATTTGATACAAAACTGTCTTGATTTGCATCTAATTTTCTCAGTCAAATTCAGTTTTATCTTTAAGTTTTTAGTAGATTATGAATGTATACACCTAAAAGTTTCACAAGTCATTTACAACATTTGTGTCCGTTCATGTTGTAAACATTACTTATATTCAATCATATTCATTAATTGAATCATAATTGTAATTCAATCATTATTATCTATAACTTCTATATAACTGATTGTACATTGTAATCATATGTAATCAAGATGGCTTTATGAAAGTCGAAAATGTCTTGAAATTCAAAGGCCCATTTACACTTGCAATTTTTACTTGAAATTTTTGCAGCGTGATTGTCGCGCAACAATCGCCTTAGTTTCAAACATGCTTGAAATAAACGATTTTTGATCGCAGCGACAATCGCGGGGCTGTTTACATGTACGATTTGAGGTGTGAGAGAAGAAAGGTTGATGCAAAAATTGCAAGTGTAAACAGGCCTTAAAAGTGTTGGTATTTTATGCAGCCCAACTTGTAATCTAAAAATACTCTAAAAAGTACTGAGACAGCAGGATTTCTAAGATAGAAATTTTGTAATATAATATTACCACAAAAATGGAAACTCTAAATTTATAATGATTGACAGAATGATGTACCTTTSGATGTAAAGGATAAGGAGTTGTTGTTGATAGTTGAGTGTACGGCTTTATTTTRGTCTTCAGCTTTCTCAGTGAATCTTCAAGGGTTGGCTAAACATGTAATAACAACATTCTTACTTACTTTGAAAGGTTAGGGATAATGAATGATAAAAATGTTGAGTTAAAAACATTCACATTTTGTTTGTTATTGAGTTTATAGTAATAAAAATCTKTTACCATAGGAACCTTTCCTTCTTCTCTTGGCATGACCATGTTGACATAACGGTCACGGCACTACAAGACATATAAACAATGTTAAAACAACTAAAAAATGAATAACCTTCAGAAACATGGAAAAATCATGAAGAATTCATATAAAAAATTAATATATTCTTAGCAACTTCATGACAATTTCACGGCCTAGATCAAAATCTTCAAATTTGTTGAACATGATATAATTTTCATATTGGATCAAACAATGTGCACGAAGTTTTCATCTTTTTTATGATGTACATTTTTTGTCTTTTAGAAACAACAGTTTCATTTGAAAATACAAAATAAACCAGCCAATGTCCTCTGTAGAAGACTTACTGTGATTGGACAACACAATAGATTTTATTATGTGGGTTTTTAATCTAATAAAGCATTCAAGTAGTGTGAGCAACACTGTTGTRAACTTACTTGTCTTGGGGACCGATACATTCTACTATTGAGATTAACTATGTCACTGACAATATCCCAGTTRGGAATTTGACTTGGAACCCCAATGGTAAGATCTACTGGCAACTCTTGCAGGGAACTTACAGCCTACAATGAAATAACATGCGTTAGCACAAAAAACGTCAACATTTTCTCCTCATATCTATATATTGAGTTTTCAGTAAGAAGGTTTATCTGTATGACCTGCAGTAGTGCCCAGTCTTCATGTACAAGCCATTCAGGTACGCTGGATCCCTATAATACAATAAGCTATTAATTATTGAACGCATATTTATGGGAAGGATTCAAAACAAACGACATTTGTTCAAATTTACAAGGATTTGTATGTACATATTGAGATAAATGGGTTCTAGCCAATCACACTTGTTGTTCTAAGGATGTTAAGGTTACCTGAGAATAATCAGTCTGTTTCATCATGCTGGGTATAGATGGCTGTTTGACATTTTTAATCTTTGTCTTCTTTGTAATGGAGTCTTTTCTTCTTCTGCCAAATGTATCCACSCCAACCCTGTCAAATACTGAYGCCGGTCTACGAACTTGATCCCTGGTAAAGGTGAAAATGTCACACAATTTTTATTATTTGGTATAGCTGTGTGTAGGACAATAAAGGTTAAGACTAACTTGGCAGGGCCATGTAAATGATCTCTGAAGTATTTCACAAGTCTATACACTGTCCTCTTGCCACTGTGATACCTCCTGCAAAAAAGGTTTGAATTGTTAACCAAATTTATCGAACATTTTTATATCATTTTATGATTTTATCAATGGTGTTCACCACAATAGTTCTAAAAAGTCTTCAAACTGAGATCATGATGTTTTCTGCCATTTTCAAGGTCTCTCAAAGAGAGAGTATTTTCATTCATAAAGTAGTATCAACAAGATCTATAGAGTCAAACATACACACCATTAAACAATCAGTTTGTATGGTTTTGACAATGAATTGAAAAGATCAGCAGAACAGATTTTCAGTCTCACTCGAATTCGTTTTTTATCACTGGGCTTACTATGAACTTACTTTGTAAGGTGCAGTGGTGGTAATTGGTTTTCTGGCATGGGAACAGTTTCATACAGATGCATGACACTATAATCCATATAAACATCATCTTTGTCTTCTCTTGGTGGTGTCGGCGGTGTCCAGATCTAATAGAAAGATAGATTAAACCACGCCTAAATGATGATCGCTTTGAATCAAAGATCATTCTGTCGTCAACCATCAAAGATGTATTTACATACTCTGCAGTGATTGGCAAAATTGGCAACCCTCTCGCTTCACATTTTTTTTACCATTTTCAAACAATTATCAAACAATTTTCTACTACTTTGCATTGTGATAAACCATTGAAAAAACATTAACGACTTAAATTAATTCTTCATTTGCAATATAAACGACAAAGGCAATCTTGGTTGGACTTCAAAGAAAGGATTTCTCATAARACTTRGTATCTWWTGTTCRTTCAACCAACACAGCTACAGATCTTTTGTTGTCATGRSAATGATTGAAAACTAGCAATAGAAYAATWCCATWAAGGAGKCAATGTACAAATAACCATTTWWWWAAAAACTTACCTGCATTTCTTCACCTGTTATATCATTCACATAAACCTAGAAACAAACCATGACATTGAGAAAACATCACACACAAATGAAGTCTTGCCTTTCCTTGGCTAGACTAATATACGTAGCAATAGCCAGTAACTGAAATACTTCTTTACTATTGCAAAGCAAGAAGCAAAGGTGTTTAACAGACAACTTGACCTTGAAAAGTATGAACCATGTTGTGCAAAAATCAAACTTTTGCAACTTCATTTGTTTCTCAGACTTAAGATTATGATAACAAATTTTGCACATTTGTCCACATGAACCATATTATCTAACTGCATAAACATGTTTTCTAAAAAAAAAACTTGAAAAGAATAATATTTATTCTTCTGAGTTATCCATGGTTAATGACCCAAAATCATCACAAAAATAATGCACAATTAATCGCAATTATTTTCACTTTTCATTCTCTTATTTCTTATTCTACCATTCAAAACGTTCTCCATTCTGGGGTTACTTGTAAAAATATGGCAATATAAAACATTTAGGACAGTAGTAGTCATTGGTTGGGCTGCCTGTGGTTGTTTGTGTCAAAAAAATAAAGCTTTCTTTACATTTTGTTTCWTCAGACTTTCTCCATCCTTAGATAACTTTTCCCTTGCATGCTATGAATACTGTCAACATCAAAAATTATTTCCCTTTCTCTCATGGAATATTATTTTGAACCAAACCCCAGCTTTAAAACATTGAGAATCAACTTTTTGCTACAAAATTGCTCATACTCAAAGAAAATGGGTTAAGGTTGCTGGGATCCAAAGTGATAGCATTCTTTGCTTCTCTCTTGAGAGATGGCATTGCATGGACATAAGATGCTGGTGTTGCATTACTGCATTCAAAATGTGAATAACTCTTGCATTAAGTTGTAGGCCACCAGCAATGTTTAGTGCAAATGTTGCAACCATCAACATATAACACTTTGTGAATTTTCAGATAAAAACCACGAATTGCAACAGTGTTCCACTACGTTGCAATGTTTGTAAATGCATAAGAAGTGTTTTACTGTTGTATGATGCATTGATACTTTGAACACCAGCAACCCTGCCCACTACAGATTACCATGCTTAGTGCTTGAGTATGGCAATCTATGCGACTTATGGCATGCAATTTGATACCCAATCAGCAATTGAGTTTACAAAAATGTGCAAACTGTAAAGCCACACCATTTTTTCAATTTTTTACCCAAGCTTTAAGCACAGTAAAATGAATCTCACACGTGAAAGAAGTCATTCGTCAACGAATGACTCAGCATCACTCAAAGAGAGTAAGCAAAGAATAAACCACACAGTGTTTCCATTTTAAATGTTTAATGTTTTGCTTTTTTTCATCTTTTTCATGTTGAAGTTATTTTACACAAATATCATGAGCTTAAATTGCACAATGTGTGCATTAATCCATGCAGTACTGAGAGAATATTCCAATAATCTATGCAGTACTAGCCACAATATTATCACCACTCCTGATCAGGAAAATTCAAATCCTACCTTGCTCGTTAAGTACCAACAAACATTTACTTTATAACAGGAAATGTTCTTAAATTTCCACAAGCCAATTCAATTTTTTCCTTAATTTTACTTTTTCAATATATTTTTCAAGAATTGAAATTATTCTTCAAGTAGCTGTAAATTTGAAATTGATTTTGGATATTTGAAAAAAATGATCTAGTTTAGTTTAGACCAATCATAATTTAGAATCTCAAATATCTAGAGTGACATTTTCTCTTGGTTTGTTTCGTCTAGTGACTATATTTGTACTGCTACAACTGCTGCTTCTACTACTAGCCCGAGATGCCGAGCGCCGAGGTGGTCTACTAGCCCTGGCTTCCTTTTCATTCTGTTTTGCATCTTGCGAACCAGCACAAGAAGCCTTCTTGCTGGAGCTTTTCTTGGCACTACCTGATTCTAGACTACTTGTTCTACTTGACGGTCTAGTTTGCTTTTTGGTTTTTGATTTAGTTTTAGATTTTGATTTCTTAACCTGTGTGGAGTCGCTGTGTGCAAATGTGAAAAAGATCTCGTCTTCATCTTCAGCTGCTCTTTTTTCTTCCTCCTCTTTCAGAGCCAAAATGTGATCCATTTCCCAGTCTTTCTTTGCCAATTCAACTTGTTCCTGGATGAATAAAAAAAGACTCCTTCAAATCAGAGGTAATACAGAGATTATTTTGTTTGGTATTTTCAAATCTATGGCTTTCAGGTCATCAGACAAAACAGCCTTTRACCACAATGTGTGGTCATCAGTATAAGCATGGATATGTTCATCATTAAGCCAACAATGTACTACTGGTTATCAGTTTTCATGGCAGCCATGYTGGTGGTACTTTAAACAGAATTTCKTATTGTTGCATACAACCAATATGGCTGCCATCTTTTGTTTGTTTCAAAAGAAATAATWAAAAACCTGCCAATTCTGAAAAAATATGTTACCCAAGCAATAGAAAAAGKCTAGCTGTTGTATGGTACCTGCTCTTTGATTTGCTCTAGAGTGACATAAGCACCGGACATCTCAAAGAATCGCACAGCATATCTTTCAACAGGAGTTAGCTGAAAAAAACAATGCAGACGAAGTCATGAATGAACAAATGAACTTGATATTTTTGAACAATTTTCCTTTTCAAATCTCAAAAAAGATTAGACAAGCTTTTAGCTTAGTTTTCAAAGGAAAATCAACCATATMCATTTTACTGTACTCTATCCTTCTCATAGTTAGATTATTCATTTCTTTCCAGAATAACTATACTATTTTTTTTAAATACTTTATCCATACCTGGGATTCAAGTGCCATTAGCTCCTGCTCCACTCTTGAAGATTCTTCTTCTCGTTCCTGAATTAAAAAAAATAAAAATAAATAAATAAATGAGCTAATTTAAGACCAGACATTATCTAATTGTAGTCTAATATATTGGGCAAAGTTTATAGTGACTGCTTACCTTGCTTGCTTCATCATTGTAAGGAATTCCTTCATCAAATTCAGCCAGTTCCGCAGCCTCTTCTGCTTTAGCTTTAGTRGCAGCACAAGCATCTTGCTCATCTTCAGCTTCCAGCAGAGCCTGACAAAACAAAGATTCACTTTTAAGTAATATACCCAATAAATATTGTTGTTTTAGCATTGGTACAGCCTTTTGCAAAAATTATGAGAATTGTTGAAATATCTAAATATCATAATATCAAGTGCATGATGGGTAATCCCGCGCAATGCCCTTTGTCCCTTGTCTTTGTAGTTTTTTGTTTTTTTTTGGCGACGGACTTATCCATATTTCTGAACATTTTCTCGATGTCAACAATGAATTATTCTAGCAAACCCGCGTGTTCTGGACAAAATATGGATATGGATATTATGATATTTAGATATTTAGACAATTCTCATAATTTTTGCAAAAGGCTGTAAACAAAAAATATATACGAATATAAAATGTTTCCTGGTCTGGTGACTGTGACACCAATGCATCATGGGTGCTACAGTTAAACAAGGATTTCATCTAGCTGAATGTCATGATTTGACAGGAATATGATGTCCTATCAAACATTGGAATAATCAGCAACAATTTACAATAATTAAAGACTGTTTAAGGTCTCATCTAAACTAGCAAAATGTCCCCAAAGATCCTTGTTGACGTGGACTTAGGTCCCATCCACAGGAGTCCAGATATTTTGTATCGGCAAATGCTTTTTGTTTACCGGTACATGGAAATAATTACTACAAATAGGCACAGATATGCTTGTATCTGGATACAACAATTTCAAAAAAAATCTCTAAACTCATGTGGATAGTGCTTTATATTAATGATACATTTGTATAGTGAAGCAAAAAACTATCTACCATATCATATATTTTATGCAATTTATACAAATGTTTGTTGTTTTTAATGATTGTTTATATGTCTTGTGTCCAGGAATACATAATGACATTTTTTATATTCTTACTTGTTCAAACAGGTTTTGTGAAACCTTCCCCTTCTGTTCACTATCTTCTTTCTTTGATTCCTCAGGTTGAGCCTGTTGCTGTTGTTCCTCAACTTCCACAGCAGCCTTTGGTTGTTTTTGTGTGGCTACAAGAGAAGCTTCAAACCCACCAGCACCATCAATGGTGAACAACTCCTTTAAACTTGTCTGAGATAAAACATAAATACATAGCAATGAGAAGGTATAATAATACTAACTGGAATAAAAAGAAATAAGAAAAAATAACCAATGTTTCTGCCTATTCTCTTATTAACTTTTTTATAAAAATTGGCCTTCAAAAGATAGGCATAGAACTAAGCTTTACCCTATACTATTGGGTGCTTTCCATTTAGGTAGAACTGGCTGGCCAGCCCGCTCTATTTAGAGATATATTATGCTTTTTGTCAACATTTTTCAGTCATTTCAAGGTTTTCTATAGAATAATGGATAGAATTTGAAAATTTGAATTTCCCGACTAAATAGGAATGATATATAA